AAATTAAGATGCTTTAACCTGTCTCTATACTCAAGGTTCCTAATGCCCGGGATTAGTCTTGTCATTCTCCTCTGAATTGTTTCCAAGGATTCTATATCCATTCTGTAATACGGTGACCAGAACTGAACTGCATAATCCATGTGTGGTCTCACAAGCGCAAGATACAGTTTTAGGATGACATCGCTAGTCTTGTAACTAACACTCCTTTGTATGAACCCAAGTACTTTATTAGCCTTGTTATGAGCAAAAACACTTGTTTACTTGGCTTAAGGTTCCTACTTATCATTACTCCTAAATCTCTCTCGCAGTCGGATTTCTCTATGGCGTCGTTGTTCATGTGGTATCTGGTTTCCCTGTTTACATCTCCTATACTGAGTACTTTACATTTGTCCACGTTGAATTTCATCTGCCATTTTTCAGACCATTCGAAAAATTTGTTTAGATTTTCCTGTAGTTTTGCGGAGTCCTTGTCAGATTTAATACACGTCCTATTTTCGTGTCATCAGCAAATTTACTTATGTTGCTGTCTATGTCGATATCTACGTCGTTTATGTATATAATAAATAATAATGGTCCAAGTACTGAGCCTTGGGTAACTTCACTTGTGACGTTGCTCCAATGGGACTTGGTTCCGTTAATGCTCACTCTCTGTTTCCTGTCCTGTAACCACACCCTAATCCATTTAAGGATGTTACCTTTTATGCCATGTGCTTCTACCTTTCAAATTAGTCTTTCATGGTGGACTCTGTCGAAGGCTTTGCTAAATTCGTCATATACCACATCATAATTGTGCCCCTCGTCCACCAATTCGAAAACTGATGAAAAGAATGTTAATAGATTAGTTAGACAAGAACGTCCGCTTGTGAAGCCATGCTGGGAATCATTGATCAATCGGTGCTTCTCCAGGTGATTTCGAATAGAGTTTGAAATGATAGCTTCCAGTAATTTGCCTACTATTGATGTTAGACTGATTGGGCGGTAGTTAGAGGATAGTGATCTATCCCCCTTCTTGAAAATCGGTATTACATTCGCTATCCTCCAGGATTCTGGTACTACACCTGTTTTTAAGGACATGTTAAACAACTTTGCTAAGGGCATACTAAGCTCTTCCTTACATTCCTTTAATACTCTGGCAAATATCTCATCGGGACCAGGTGACTTAAGTAGGCTTTATTTTGTCACTACTATGTCGCTTAATTTGTTTTCTTCACTATCTCTGAATAGAGTCGGTGCCTCGGGTATCATGTTTAAATTTTCGGAAAAAAGCTTAGAAGTATTTAAATCATCTTGTGTCACAGAAAGACTTCTGGTTGAAGCTAGTTTGATTAAGGAATTAAAATCAATAAACCTTAGTGATGGTCAGTTCAAAACTGATAATATGTTACATAAATTTATTTGTCAGTGGCCCAAGGTTAAAACTGCTTTGAAAACCTTTGATCTTGATGTATGACAGTTATTTTGTGGGTCCCTTTTTTCTGACCTGACCTGTCTAGTCACGTCACCACCCTTCTCTTAAGCTCCTCTACGGTTGTGTTGGTGTGGGGATTAGTGGATGTCATCATTATGACATGACCTCATGTTTTTAGGTCACCCTGTATATTTAAGCCTCTCTCTGTCCATGTAATCTAGTTGCCTCTGAAGATGTCTTGAATAAAGACGAAAGCTAAGGTACTCCGTTGTTTCCATTTTCCCGTGTGATTTTATCAAGATTTATCTTATCCACGTTTTCATTGTGGATTTACATGAAATATGGAACTTACACGTCTCTCTTACGCTGTGTCCTTAATCTGTCAACAACATCCTCATCTTCGCCCCATCTACCGCAACTACAAGAAGAGTTTGCTGAAGGCTCATAGTCTCAAAAACAAGTTGAAGTTTTTGAAAGATTGCAGAGATGATAAAATTGTTCCCAAGTCCTGTCTTCCAAGTAGACTAAGAAATCTGGACAATCAAGCATTCTCTGAGTTGGATAAGGTGTTGCTAGATTCCCTTATCAAGAGTTCAAGTGATAGTGTGAAATTAGCCTTCAAGCACAGTGCTCAGTGTAAAATACTTATGCAAAACAGTGTTTGTGTTGATAAGTGGCACACCATTCGTGATTTTGTATATCAACTTCTTAGTGAAACTGACAAAGCCCAAAAAAGAAGGTTAAATGCCAAATTAAATGCTCTGTTTGACGAGAGTTACTGGACCATATTGAGTGATCCAAATTTGTTCATAAACTTATCATCTTATGATCTACAGACAAATGAGAAACTTGTTCTTGGTTTTGGTAGGAAGTTTTCTATCACTCAACGGTGCGTTAATCCGCTTACTATTGCTAAAGGTTTAATCAACCTGGAAAAGATGAAGTCGTCTGATGTTACAAATGAAGATATTTCCATAGCTAAAGGTTGTATACATAGTGTTTTAAATAAGAAATTTGCTTCAAACATTCCAAAAAGATTTGAAACAGCCTTGATAAACTTGAAAAGAAATAAGAATATCCATATTACCAAGGCTGATAAGTCTAATGCTATTGTTATCTTGGATAAAAGTGACTACAATGATAAGATGAATTCATTACTTAGTGATGAAAGCACGTATTGTGAGCTTACGAAAGATCCCCTGGAAAATATTAATAAGTTATCTAATTCCAAAATGAAGATGTTATTGAAAAAGAACCCCGATCTCACTAAACAGCTCTCTCAAATCAATCCCACTTTACCTTATATGTATGGATTGATCAAAACACACAAGCTTAATAATCCATTACGTCCTATCGTGAGTTCTGTGGGTTCTGTTACTTACAAATTATCCAAGTGGCTGGTAAAGATGATATCCCCTCTTACAGGCCAAATATCTAATTCACATATACGCAATAGCAGTGATTTAATTGATAAACTCAAGAAACACAACGAACCTTGCGAATTAATAAGTTTTGATGTAAATTCACTGTTCACTAGAGTACCTGTGAAAGACTTACTTTCATTTCTTAAAGATAAATTACAACTGCTAGATTTAACTATTGAACATGATACTTTCCTGAAATTGATAGAGTTATGCGTAACTGACAATGTGTTTAGTGCAAATGGGAAGTTCTACAAGCAAGTATTTGGCATGAGCATGGGTAATTGTCTTTCTGCTCCTCTAGCCTGTATTTATATGGAGTTCTTTGAGTCTAGATTACTCCCCAATGTAGTGGACTGTATTCCTCCTTGGTATAGATATGTAGATGATGTTCTTTGTCTTTGGCCTAAAAACAGTGACCCTTTGGAATTTTTAGACAAGCTTAATAATATTGTCCCTAGTATCACATTCAAAATTGAAAGAGAAATAAGTGAATCCCTTCCATTTCTTGATATGCTTATCATGAGAAATGGCCAAAACTATAAATTTAAGGTATATAGAAAGCCCACACAGGTAGACAGTTTCATTCACTTTTTATCCAATCACCTTGAGTCTACCAAAATGTCAGTTTTTTCTGCTATGTTCCTACGATGTCTGCGTATTTGTGACTCTGAATTTATTGACGACGAATTTAAACACATTCGTTCTATTGCACAGAAACTTGGGTACCCTTCTGTGTTTGTTGATCGTTGCTTTAAAAGGGCTAAAAAATCCTTTCATTCCTCTCTAACCAGACAAGTTCCTACACTTAAGAATATTTTGACTCTGCCCTATCGTGATGAATTTGTCCCTTTAGTTCGGTCCCTCAAGCTTCTAAATATTAATGTTGTTTTCAAGTATGACTCAACCATTACCAATATGTTAATAAGGAATAGCCCAAGTTTGAATGTAAATGGAAGTGTTTATTGTATTCCATGTAGCCAATGTAATTGTAATTATGTAGGTCAGACAGGAAAAACACTGCAGCTCAGAATCAAACAACATAAGTATAATATCAGAACTGCATCTGAAAGCAGTGCCTTGTTCGTTCATGTTAGGAATAATAATCACCCCATTGCTTGGGAAAAAAGCTTAGAAGTATTCAAATCATCTTGTGTCACAGAAAGACTTCTGGTTGAAGCTAGTTTGATTAAGGAATTAAAATCAATAAACCTTAGTGATGGTCAGTTCAAAACTGATAATATGTTACATAAATTTATTTGTCAGTGGCCCAAGGTTAAAACTGCTTTGAAAACCTTTGATCTTGATGTATGACAGTTATTTTGTGGGTCCCTTTTTTCTGACCTGACCTGTCTAGTCACGTCACCACCCTTCTCTTAAGCTCCTCTACGGTTGTGTTGGTGTGGGGATTAGTGGATGTCATCATTATGACATGACCTCATGTTTTTAGGTCACCCTGTATATTTAAGCCTCTCTCTGTCCATGTAATCTAGTTGCCTCTGAAGATGTCTTGAATAAAGACGAAAGCTAAGGTACTCCGTTGTTTCCATTTTCCCGTGTGATTTTATCAAGATATATATATATATATATATATATATATATATATATATATATATATATATATATATATATATATATATATAAAATATATATTTTACCGTCAATGTATCTTACACCAACAGTCAGAATGCTAGATATTACTATTTAATTCACGTACACTTCTGTGGAAACTTATCAATAACATTCCTCAGGAACCTCTACAGGAATTCAACGTACTTTTTAAGTATGAACAGACAAATATTATTGAAGCTTTTTTCATCTCTTTCTCAAAATTATGTTTTCCAGTTCATATTTCCTCATGTTTGTCTATTTTACACCAATTGCCCTCATGAATCCAGAACTGAACAGCAGAATTCATTTCACACTTGTATGGTCCATGGACTTACCAGATGAAACAAATTTAGCTCTAAAAGATTCTATGTCATGTTACTTCTATGAAAAGCAGGTTGCTCATGCTGCTTTCATTTTGACTCTACCATGAAAATGGATGAACTTTCTAGCAGTGAAAAGAAGTAAAAAAAAACAAAACTCCCCAGACACATAAAATTACACAACCCATGTTTACACTGTTACCTGATATTATTTGGTAAGGTGAATATACTTTTTCCTAGCTTCTATGGTGAGACAGTGAACGTGACAGCACTGCCTTACACTCCACACTGGGAGGAGGTGATGCACCAAACCCTGAACGGTACCCTCGTCAAGAAATACTCAGGCACTGACTACTTCCTGCTGGAAATCATAGCGGAGACCCTCAACTTTACCATTCGTGTTCTTCAGACCGAGAGCTGGGACGAAGTAAGGAAATAAATGGTTTAGATTTTGAATGCTCCGTATATATGATATTACCCGTAAGACATCTGCAGCGGGCCTATTAGCCCGCGTGTTCGATTTAATGGTGATGTTTTATAACTTGTTCCACTCGCCCATCACTCTATTTCCAACCCAGTGTTTACCTACTCCGGCCCTAATTTTAAATTTGTCTAATTTAAAACCATTACTACGAGTTCGCTCCTGGTTGGATGGTTTAAGTACCTTTGTTATATCACATTTGTTTAACCTCGACTTCCATTTATACACTTCGATCATATCGCCCATCACTCTACGTCTCTCGAGGGAGTGCAAATTAAGATGCTTTAATCTGTCTCTGTACTCAAGGTTCCTAATGCCCGGGATTAGTCTTGCCATCCTTCGCTGTATGCATTCGAGGGATTCGATATCCATTCTGTAGTACGTTGACCAAAACAGAACTGCATAATCCAAGTGAGGTCTCACAAGAGCAAGATATAGTTTAGGATGACCTCGCTAGTATGAACTCAATTACTTTGTTAGCCGTGTTTCGAACAAATATGCATTGTTGTCTTGGTTTAAGAGTCCTACTTATCATTACCCCTTAATCTTTCTCACAGTCGGATTTCTCCATATCACCGTTGTTCATCTGATATCTGGTTTCTCTTGCAGGTGGCGTCACTGGTAGAGGAGCGGGTTTCCTTTATGGCAACAGTGTTCCACAACGTTTTACCTCAACGCCTCCACCGATACGATTTCTCCTACACTTATGAGTATGGCTCCCTTGACTTCAGTGCAGCCAAACCTGCCTTGAAGCCCCAGTGGCAGAGTCTCTACTACCCGCTGTCTGACGGGGTTTGGCTGGCCATTTTAGCAGTAGTGCTCTTCATGCCCATGGCAATTTATCTGGTATGATTAACACAAGTCGTCTCATAAATTTAATTATTGTACACAATCATGAACTGCTGCACTAGTTATTAATGATAGGTAATCTATTAAAAAAAATCAGGATACTTACATCTAGCAAACTGGGGAAGAAATATTTAAGTCGTGATGCAAGTGAATGGACTTATTATATTTGGATAATATCTATTACAGCGGGGTTTCTTAAATGGAAGTTCGAAACTGTAGGAGTGATAAATGTTAAAAGATGAAGTGATGAATATAAAATGTTAAAGAACCGAATATAAGCAGTGGGTTTGGGAAAAAATATAGAATACTAGCATTTTTGTTTTACAGACGCGGATATCCCGATCTTCATATTGACTAACAGAGCTCAGTTATCTAAAGTGAGCCAAAAATAAACAAAAAAATTCACAAAAACTTAACCCATCGTGATGCATATGTATATATTCTCTCGCTCTCTCTCTCTCTCTCTCTCTCTCTCTCTCTCTCTCTCTTGGAAACGAGTGTGACGAAGAGAGAAAGATGGAATTTTTGTAATGGTTTCATCTTCGTTTGTGACTTATAAGGTTGCTCGATATGCACTTTTTAAAGTTTATCATTATGTTTCCTTATATTATCTGTTCGGTTGCCCATCTGCTCTACGTTTGTCTTCTTTTAATGGTTGTAGGGCTGCATGGTAGTCTACTCTCTATCTTGGTCTATCCTTCGTAGTTGGTTCTGCACAATTTCGATCCCAATGTTCCTATATTTGGTGTCACTAAAGGTAATGCCATTTGTCTACCTGACTTCCCTGGTAAAAGTGGCCTGTGTGTGACTCATGGCTCGCTAATATACAGCAAGATAAGGGAATCCCTTGTTCTATAGACTTGCATCTGTGTTGTTGTTTTCTACTCTTTATAGCTGAAGCCACAAGTATGCATGCAGTCTTCTAAAGGCCCCAGGAGCACAACTATTCCTATGTTGAATAACCTCGTAGATATCCGCGTGATGGACAGGTGGGACCCAATATATTGAAAATTGTTAACCTGGATGGACGGTAGGAGTACGAGTGAAACATGGGCTGGCTGGAACAGAGCCTGCATCTTGCTTAAGTTTACATAAGAACATAAGAAAATAAGGAGTCTGCAATAGGCCGGTTGGCCTGTGCAATTGTGCATGGCAGCTCCTGTCGAGAGTTACTACCACTCTCTATCATCCATGAATCTATCTAGCCTCCTTTTGAAACTTTCCAGAGTTCCCGCACTTACTACAAAATTGCTAAGCTTGTTCCACTCGTCCACCACCCTATTTGTGAACCAGTTTCTTCCTATCTCCCTCCTAAACCTAAACTTATCCAACTTGAATCCGTTGCACCGAGTCCTATCCTGCTCGGATATTATAAGAACTTTATCTATATCCCCTTTATTAATTCCTTTCACCCACTTAAATACTTCTATCATATCTCCCCGCACTCTTCGTCTTTCTAGGGAATGCAAGTTAAGTTTCTTTAACCTATCCTGATATGGAAGGTTTCTAAGTCCCGGAATCATTTTTTCATTCTTCGCTGCACCGACTCTAGTGAATTATATCCATTCTATAATAAGGGCACCAGAACTGAACCGCATAATCGAGGTGCGGCCTCACTAGCGCAAGATATAGTTGCAATAAACCTCTGCACTCTTGTTACTTACACTTCTAGATATAAAACCCAATACTCTGTTTGCCTTATTTCGAACATTAACGCACTGTTTTCTAGGCCGTAGGTCCGGGCTTACAAGTACCCCTAGGTCTCTTTCACAAGTCGACTTCTCTAGGTTGATGTTGTTAAGGCTGTATACATTATAAGTATTTGTTCTTCCAATATTAAGTACGCTGCACTTGCTGGTGTTGAATTTCATTTGCCATTTTTCAGACCACCCCTGCAGTTTATTTAGATCCTCCTGTAATGCATTTGCATCCTGCCCTGAATTAATTTGCCGCCCCATTTTGGTGTCATCTGCAAACTTGCTTATGTCACTGCTGATCCCAGTATCTAAATCGTTTATGTAGATTATGAACAAGAGTGGGCCTAGTACTGACCCCTGGGGAACCCCACTGGTTACACGGCCCCACTCAGATTTAACACCATCTACGCTGACCCTCTGCGTTCTATCGGTGAGCCATGATTTTATCCAATTTAAAACTTTCCCCTCGATACCATGAACCTTAATTTTTCTCAGAAGCCTCTGATGCGGTACTCTGTCAAATGCTTTGCTAAAGTCTAAGTAAATAACATCGTAATTTTCGTCATTATCTACTACCTCGAAGACTTTCCTAAAAAACGTTAGCAGATTTGTTAGACAAGATTTTCCCTTTGTAAACCCATGTTGAGAGTCGTAGATTAATTTGCTTTTCTCTAGATGCGATCGGATGCTATCTGCTATAATTGATTCAAGAAATTTCCCCACTGCTGACGTCAAACTGATCGGCCGGTAATTTGACGCTGATGCTCTGTCTCCCTTTTTGAATATGGGTACTACATTTGCCTGTTTCCACAACTCTGGCACAACTCCAGTGTCTAATGATTTTGTAAATAAGTTTACGAGGGGTCCGCTAATCTGTTCCCTACACTCTTTTAAGACTCGAGGGAAAATTTCATCCGGCCCTGGGGATTTTGTATTCTTTAGTATATTTATCTTCTTAAGAACATCCTCTTTTCTGATAGTGATATTCTTTACTTTCTCTTCTTGCTTTCCCTTAAATATCAGTTCCACCTCCGGAATTTCATCTCAAATTTCTTCTGTGAAAACTGATAAGAAGTAGCTGTTCAATGCTTTGCTTATTTCTTCATTGCCATTTATCACTTCTCCCCTCCCTGACTTTAAAGGCCCAACTTTGTCCTTGACCTTTGTCCTATATACCTGGAAAAATCCCTTGGGACTCGCCTTGGATTCTCTTGCTATTTTGATTTCATAGTCTCTCTTTGCTTTCCTTACATTTTTCTTAACATTCCTATATAGTTCATTATACCTGTTTCTGAGCTGCTCCTCCCCTCCCTTTAATTTTTTATATATTCCTTTCTTTAGGTAGTACTGTGCATTACGTACGTAAAGACACACAGACGGACGGACAGGAATGTTATAGGCCTCATCAACATTCATAGCGGTGAATTAATGAATTAATTACAAAATTGTCCTCCCAGAATTGCTAAGCCTTTTTATGTATCTTTCATTTCACAAAGATAAATGTGGTGGAAGTTAGCAGCAACCTTGGAAGAAAGATCGATGCCGAAACGAATTTTAACTTGGTCCTGGGGACGCTTCTGTCTCAGCCCCTCAATAGGAAGCTCCCCAGCAGCCACACAACCCGTGTCCTGGTGACCGCTTGGCTGGTGTTTGCCTTCATTGTGGGCACTGTCTACCGCGGCAACCTCACCGCCGCCCTCACACTGCCCAAGTACCCGCCCAGACCGGAGACCATAGAGGAACTCGTAGACTCATTTGACAAGTATGGATTTATGTGTTTTGACTTAGTAATTAATACAATGTAACACAGCTACTAATCTCTGTCATGGGTTTTCTTTTGCCACTTCATAAAATTTAATTTATTTTTGGTTCCCTTAACTTTCAGGATAACAATGCCGCCGTTTGGACGTGAATTTATTAGTTTCTTCAAACAATCGAATTCTGTGCTGTACAGGGCCCTGGCTGAACGTATGTCAATAGTGCCTACTGTCTTAGTTGGTCTTCAGCAAGCCAGTGATAACAGGCAAGTGCCAGGTCAATTGTACAGTTTATGCTAAATCTATCATAGAAATAAGATACTGAATAATTAGAATATTTGCGGTTTACTTGTATTTTGTGTTTTGTGGGTATAAATGACAGTGGTCCCATTAGAAACCCAGAATTACAAATAAACTGACCTCTATTCAAGCTAGGTTTGCCAAATACGCATTATATAAGAGCAATACGTTGTAGGGAGACGGAAACGTGGAAATACAAAGACTAAATGTGGTGACTGATGGTGAAATTTAGACACAGGAAAGCTGCGCAGAGTAGAAGTGACATAATAGGGAATGACGTGTAATGTGATTGAGATTGAAATAAGAACAAAAGAACGTAAGAAAATAAGGAGTCTGCAATAGGCCGGTTGGCCTGTGCATGGCAGCTCCTGTCGAGAGTTACAACCACTCTCTATCATCCATGAATCCATCTAGCCTCCTTTTGAAACTTTCCAGAGTTCCAGCACTTACTACAAAGTTGGTAAGCTTGTTCCACTGGTCCATCACCCTATTTGTGAACCAGTTTCTTCCTATCTCCCTCCTAAACCTAAACTTATCCAACTTGAATCCGTTGCTCCGAGTCCTATCCTGCTCGGATATTATAAGAACTTTATCTATATCCCCTTTATTGATTCCTTTCACCCACTTAAATACTTCCATCATATCTCCCCGCACTCTTCGTCTTTCTAGGGAATGCAAGTTAAGTTTCTTTAACCTATCCTGATATGGAAGGTTTCTAAGTCCCGGAATCATTTTCGTCATTCTTCGCTGCACCGACTCTAGTGAATTGATATCCATTCTATAATACGGGCACCAGAACTGAACCGCATAATCGAGGTGCGGCCTGACTAGCGCAAGATATAGTTGCAATAAGACCTCTGCACTCTTATTACTTACACTTCTAGATATAAAACCCAATACTCTGTTTGCCTTATTTCGAAGATTAACGCACTGTTTTCTAGGCCGTAGGTCCGGGCTTACAAGTACCCCTAGGTCTCTTTCACAAGTCGACTTCTCTAGGTTGATGTTGTTAAGGCTGTATACATTGTCAGTATTTGTTCTTCCAATATTAAGTACGCTGCACTTGCTGGTGTTGAATTTCATTTGCCATTTTTCAGACCACCCCTGCAGTTTATTTAGATCCTCCTGTAATGCATTTGCATCCTGCCCTGAATTAATCTGCCGCCCTATTTTGGTGTCATCCGCAAACTTGCTTATGCATATTTCAGAAGGTTGAATGGTGGATTGGAGTTAACTGATGCACTGGCCATGAAACAGTATCAGGAATAATAAAATGAAGACGCAGATTGTTTAAGGTAGATGGATGGTATGGAGACAGTAATGGACTGATGTTGATGAAGTGTATAATTTTACATTGTACAAGCATGTTGTCTAACAGTAACAGGTAGGACTATTGTGAATGAAGACACTTAGTGTTTTTGATGCAGTCATTGCACTATTAGAAATATGGTGATTCAAGGCGAAATTTAATTTAAAATAATCCCAAGTGTTAATAATTGAATGCGGAAGCTAAATACATCTCTTTCTTGAGGAAGAGTAAAAACTAAACTATGGAGACAAGATTGTGTTGAAGGTCGTTGTGTTACCTACTGGGAGATTAAATTGAATTGAATTGTAACAGTTTATTTAGCCAGAAAAATACAGATACAAAGTGAATAATAATAACACTATTAACATGGCTGAGCCAGTTGAGAACCTGAGCTCTCTTTGAGGCACCTGATATATACTATACATTTATCTCAAGGAAGTATTATGTAACATTTAGTATCATCTGGAATAGTACAATAGCATGGTAGTAATAAGTACATCTCATAGTGCTACCACGGTTATCACTTCAATATTTATTTATTTTATTATTTATTATTTTTATTTATTTATTTATTTATTATTTTTTTTATTTATACATACATATACACATACCTATACATATATACACATATACACACATATATATATATATATATATATATATATATATATATATATATATATATATATATATATATATATATATATATATATATATATATATATATATATATATATATATATATATATATATATATATATATATATATATATATATATATATATATATATATATATATATGCTGATAACCACAAGGAAAGAAGAAAACACGAAGTTCCCAAGCGCGTTCATGTAGTTCACATCTTCAGGGGTGAGTACAGACTAGAGAGAGAAATACAAATCAAGGTGTATATATACAGAGGAGGGTGAGACCAGGTCCACAATGGTCAGGTATTAGGTAATGACCCTACTAATCTTCGTGTTTTCTTCTTTCCTTGTGGTTATCAGCATATATCTAGATCACGCGCACCTACATATTATATATATATATATATATATATATATATATATATATATATATATATATATATATATATATATATATATATATATATATATATATATATATATATATATATATATATATATATATATTATTACACACACACACATATAAATTAGAGGAATTTAAAACATTTAGGATAAAACAGGAAACCAGTTACCAGATGAACAACGATGCCATTGAGAAATCTGACTGCGAGAGAGATTTAGGAGTAATGATAAGTAGGAACCTTAAGCTAAGTAAACAATGTTTTTTTGCTCATAACAAGGCTAACAAAGTACTTGGGTTCATACAAAGGAGTGTTAGTTACAAGACTAGCGAGGTCATCCTAAAACTGTATCTTGTGCTTGTGAGACCACACCTGGATTACGTAGTTCAGTTCTGGTCACCGTATTACAGAATGGATATAGAATCCTTGGAAAGAATTCAGAGGAGAATGATAAGACTAATCCCGCAATACAGGTCCCATATAGAGACAGGTTAAAGCATCTTAATTTGCACTCCTCGAGAGATGAGAGCGAGGGGCGACCTGATAGAGGTATAAGGGAAGTCAGGTCTAATCAAAGGGGATATTACAAAGGTACTCAACTATCCAACCAGGAGAGCGAACCTGTACAATTGCCTTTAAATTAGACAAATTTAGATTTAGGCATGAAATAGGTAAACACTGGTTTGGAAACAGAGTAGTGGATGAATGGAACAAGTTACCAAATATCATCATTAACTCGAATACGCTGAATTGCTTCAAACATAGGTTGGATGCTCATATGAGCAATAGGGGTTGGGTGTAAACGGGACTGCCCAGTATGGGCCAATAGGCCCGCTGCAGTTTCCTCCATTCTTATGTTCTATGTTCTTATAGGCAATGGGGAGGCACAACCTACAGTAGTAACAAGGTTGAAATAAGAGTATGTTTTCAGGATTATGTCTAGTTAGCAATTATGTGTATTGCAATGGTAATTACTTATTTATTTACATGATAATTTCCGATAAAACGGATTTGGTGGTACAATAAAAGCAGGTACTGTAAATATAGTAAGTGTTGCAAGAAATATTAATACTTCGACAATAGATATTTTTTTAGAGATGATTTAAAGGAAGGGAGCGTAGTCTTTGCTCGGATGGGTGGGGGTAAGTTGTTCCATACCTTCACACCATGATATTTTATGGAGGTCTGGGACTGAGAGGACCGTATGGGGGGTGGTCTTAGTAGCTCAGGGTGCCTTAAGTTGTAACTCTGATTATTCCGAAACTGGAAGTAATTATTGTCAAGAGATTTAGGAGTAATGATAAGTAGGAACCTTAAACCAAGTAAACAATGTGTTTTTGTTCGTAACAAGGCTAATAAAGTACTTGGGTTCATACAAAGGAGTGTTAGTTACAAGACTAGCGAGGTCATCCTAAAACTGTATCTTGCTCTTGTGAGACCACACCTGGACTACGCAGTTCAGTTTTGGTCACCGTATTACAGATTGGATATAGAATCCTTGGAAAGAATTCAGAGGAGAATGACAAGACTAATCCCGGGCATTAGGAACCTTGAATATAGAGACAGGCTAAAGCATCTTAATTTGCACTCCCTCGAGAGACGTAGAGCGAGGGGCGACCTGATAGAGGTGTATAAGTGGAAGGCAGGGCTAAACAAAGAGGACATTACAAAGGTACTCAAACTATCCAACCAGGTGCGAACTCGTAACAATGGTTTTAAATTAGACAAATTTAGATTTAGGCGTGAAATAGGTAAACACTGGTTTGGAAACAGAGTAGTGGATGAATGGAACAAGTTACCAAATATCATCATTAACTCGAATACGCTGAATAGCTTCAAACATAGGTTTGATGCTTATATGAGCAATAGGGGTTGGGTGTAAACGGATCGTTCTGCATGGGTCAATAGGCCCGCTGCAGTTTCCTCCATTCTTATGTTCTTATGTTCTTATGTTGATAGATTTGTAAACAAAGAGGGCACAGCAGTAAGTGTTAATATCTTCGAATTTTAAAAATTTCAATATAGCAAATTTTTCGTTGTGTGATCTGTTTTTTTCAAGTAGGTCATTGTCCGTACAACTCTCTTTTGTGCAGTAACCAGAGATTGTGTTTTTGAAGAGCCAGAGGCCCCCCATAGTGTGTGACAGTGTATCAGGTGTTGGTAAACAAGATCATGATAGATTTCTTTCATTGCTGTGAGAGTGAGTGACTGTCGAGTGTGATACATGATACCACACTGTTTATTGATTTTACTGTGAATGGCTTGTATGTGGTTTCTCCAGTTAAGTTTCTCATCAACAATAACTCCGAGGAATTTAGTATTTTGTTCGCGTTTGAGGACTATATTACCAAGGTACAGGGGGTTCAAGTCTGGAGGTAAGTTTTTTCTTCTGTGAAAGATCGTGTAGTGGGTTTTCTCAAGATTTAGGGTCAGTTTATTACGTATTACCCAGGTCCCGACTTTAGTTAATTCAGTGTTCATAGTTCTCATCAAGGAATGGAGGTCTGAGTTGCTGGCATAGAGATTACTATCGTCTGCAAATAAGTTGTATTTTATGAGTGGGCTGGCGTGGACTATGTCGTTTATGTACAACAAAAACAGTACTGGACCGAGAATTGAACCTTGGGGGACTCCATACAAGATAGGCAAGGAGTCAGATTGGTGGTTATTATAACAGACATACTGCATCCTGTTGGACAGATATGAGGTAAACCAATTGTGGGACAGGCCCCTAACGCCGTAATGTTCAAGCTTTCAAAGTAGGATGGTATGGTCGACAGTATCGAAGGCATTAGAGAGGTCCAAGAATATACCGACTGTGAACTGACTGTCATCAAAGGAATTTAAGATGTCATTAGTAAAGGATAGCAGAGCACTCTCAGTCGACCTTCTAGCTCTAAATCCAAACTGGGAGTCTGTAAAGATGTGACTGGGCGTTACAATAAAACCAACAGGATATATTTATAACCCCTCCCCCCCGAAAAAAAACAAGAAGAGAAGATTTAACTCTTAAATTTGCCCAACTTGTTTGCATTGTTCTCGTGTCCACACTCACATAAATAATTATATACTAAATAAGCATAAACGAGTACACATACAAACACACACGCACGCATACAGTCGATCAATCAGAGTACCTTCTTCGTATGTGAGGGTTGGCCACCATAGTCCCCCACTTTAATCGTTCTCGGGCTGTTTTTACCAATCATTCCTCCAAGGTTTTGTATCTCTCTGGGACCCATTTTTCAATTTCATTCATCCATCCCAGTCTTTTCCTCCCCGTGTCCCTCCTATCCTCAGTTTTGCCCATTAATGTTATTATTATTCCCTCATCCCTAATTATATGACCAAATTATCTCAATTTTGTCTGTACTTTTCAAGTATTTCTCTATAAGTTTTTGCTAATCTTAGTACGCCTTCATTCGTTTTCCTATCAGTGAGGCTTATTCTAAGCATTCGTCTATAACACCACATTTCAAAGGCCTCCAATCTCCTCTTTGGTGTCTGCTGAAATTGCCCACACTTCTGACCCATACATCATTCCTTGCCATATAAAGCCTTCCAGCCGCCTTTTTCTCAATTTGAAATTAATGTCCCTTTTCATTCGGTTTTGAGATTATTCAAAGCTGTTTTTGCTTGCCCCATTCTTGATTTGATTTCCTTCGTACATCTACCATCACAGCTAATGTTACTTCCCAAATGCACAAACAAATTTCACTTGTTTAAGTTCCCTGTTGCCTACCATAACTTGTATTTTAGAATTTATTTCCAATTTGGAAACAACCATTACTTCAGTCCTTACAGCATTAACTCTTAAACCATATTTTTGTTTACATTGTTCACCAATCTGTTAACGAGTTTATGTAATACCTCGTCACTATCTGTGATAAGAGCAGTGTAATATGCAT